CAGGGATGGGGTTGAGGTCTGGAGAGGGATCGGGAGGTGAGGAGGAGCTGGGGAGGGGGGGGATGGATGGGCTCTCTGTGTGGCAGTATGTGTGCCAGTGTGAGAGTGTGTCTGTGAGAGCTATCTCTGAATCATCTCAGTTGGAAAAGCCCTTGAAGCTCCTCCAGTCCAACCATGACCCTCACACTGACCGTTCCCAACTCCACCAGATCCCTCAGCGCTGGCTCAACCCGACTCTTCAACCCCTCCAGGGATGGGGACTCCCCCCCTGCCCTGGGCAGCCCATTCCAACGCCCAACAACCCCTTCTGGAAAGAAATGCTTCCTAAGAGCCAGTCTGACCCTGCCCTGGTGCAGCTTGAGGCCATTCCCTCTTGTCCTGGCGCTGGTTCCTTGGTTCGAGAGACTCATCCCCCCGCTCTGCACCCTCCTATCATGTAGCTGTAGAGGGCCATGAGGTCTCCCCTCAGCCTCCTCTTCTCCAGACTGAACCACCCCAGAGTATGTGTGTCTGTGTACAAATGTGTGTGGTGGTGACACCCAAAGAGCTGTGCACACATGTCAGCATCAAGTGGAACCATGTGCATGAACCCCACCACCCTGCAGGGCAGTCAAGGGGTGGAACCAGCCAACAGTGTCACCCCCCTGCTGCTGTGCATGGCCACAGTGGCTGGGGGACAGTGAGAACAAGTGTGTCACATGCAGGCTGGGCTGGGCACACACAGCTGCACACTCACCTGGTGGCAGGGGGTACATGTGTGCACCAGCCACGGTCACCCCAGCTCTCTCCTTCCAAAATGCTCCACTGAGTCACATGCAGCAACAGGGCCAGGAACCAAGCAAGGTCAGAGCCCAAAGGCACCGGGCAGCAACCTCTGTTTTCATTGCCTGCAGCATCAGAGGGTGTCCACATGGCTGCACACCTCCTCAAAATGACACTGTAAGAGGCAAAGCACAGCCCTTCCCCATCTGTGATCCCAGCCCCATGCCTCCCCACATGCAGGAAGAGGGGGTGAACCAGGACTGTCCTCCTTCAGCTAAAGCCCAGAGAAATCAGACTCGGGGCTGAGCCAAAAGGAAGCTTTTTCAAATACTTGCTCAGTCAAGAGGGAAATGGAGACACTGGTTCAGGTCAAAACAAACCATCACCACTATACAAAGCAAATCGCCTTTTAATACGTAACCAAATACAGGGGGTGAGTTTCAGGACATCTTTTTCTCCTCAGCATTATCCGTCTGCCAACAGCAATACAAAGAAATCACAAAGCGTAAAATGAGACACTGTCACAAAAATAGATGTTATGTGCACATACACAACGTATAAAGAGATAAGACACAAGTAACAGAACACCAGGGGTTTGTCTTGGCCCCAATCAGTAGAGCCTGGCAGGGTGCCTCCTGCCCAAGGGCACCTTTTGCAGGACCAGGGGCCCTCAGCACCCCCCAGCCAGGGCCATGCACTGTTTCACATCGCCTGAATAGGTGCCAGGACAACAAAGGCTGGTAAGCAGAGTCCATCTTGCTCCTTTTCGGGTCTGCTGCTTTGTAAGGCTCTGTACCACAGTCAGTCAGCTCCTTGCCCTGCCCTGGGCACTCCTCCAGGCCCCGTTGGAGGGGTCTGGCCTGTTTCCAGGACCTCAACCCTTCCTGAGCCCCATCTTGCCCACAAGCAGCCCAGGGAGCCCCAGCACAGTGAGACAAAGCAGGGTATGAAGGAGGAGACCCAGGGAGATGAGGCCACCCCACACCAGGACACATGCAGGCTTGCTGCTGGGCTAGCCCTGCCCTAATTACCTGATTTTACTCACTTGGCAAACAGTATGTGGCTTAATACTGGTGTGAGGGGTGCACAGGGGGGAAAGGTATGCAGGTCTCCAATAGCTCTGACAAACCTGCCAGATCTGGTCTTGAACCAAACCCTCTCCCCATCATTGCTTTTTCTGGGGGGGGGTTAACCTGACAGATCTGGGAGACTTTGCCCCACAACAGAGAAAACAAAATAATTTCACATCTTAGGTTAAAAAATACAAAAGAAAGGTAATTCCACAAAGTGGCTGTGCTCGTCTCCAAGATGACAGTTTGAAGGTTACAAACTTGGTCCAAAGGGGAGAGGCAGACAGTCACTGTACCCCTTCCTACCTTTCCTTCTTGCTGCTTTGGCAAAACTACACTATCCTGAGCAACTGCAGGAGCAAACCCCATCATTTCTCCATCTAATGGCACTGCTGATCACAGGAGAGGTAGGCAAGGACAACCCAGTGACAAACCCAAGGGGAGCCTGGCTGGACCTTCCACACCCTGCTGCCCAGAAAGACAACAGATTCCCTGGAAAGGCTGCCAAAGAGCCCCCAAACCTGAGCTGCTTCTGCTCTCATGCCCTCCACCTCCCACAAAGACCCTTCAGGTACTGCTGAGCTTCTCAAGAGTGCTTCATAACATCCCCTTTTCTAAAGGAACTGGGTCACTAGGGGTTCAGGAGGAGATGGAGAGCACAGGAGGGAGGGAGCAAGAGCAGAGCAGAGGGGCTCAGGCAGGCTGAGGTGATGCAGAGGACTGAACAGCAAGATGTCATGTGTGGTCCGCGCACATAGGTGATGAGGGGACCACGCTGCATCGAGAAACAGCAATTCAGTGCCACATGCCTGTAAGGCAGCAGGTCCATCTGCAAGAGGCTGCCACGAGCAGCAAGCAGGGTGTCCTTCCTTGGACCCCAAGAGTCTGCAAATCTCCCCATGGGCATGGCCACATCTCCCTGAAAGACTTCTCATAGGGGGAAAAAAAAAACAACAAAAAAAACCAAACAACAAAGCAAAACCAAACCACGTGAAACACTTCATTCTAGACTGCCTGAAAGCTCTGCTAGGGCACCTTGTTTCAGGCACTGGAAGACAAAATCCTGAGTGATCAGGAATCTTGGGGCACCACTCACAAGTGTACACAGCCAGAAGAGCTTGTAACTGCTGGTGGCTTTTCCAAGTGTGGCTTCACAGTGAGGTACCCACCAACGATGCCGTGCCTGCATCCCCCGTAACACCCATCACTCCATCCGTGCGAGCTGGGGCACCCCTCAGGTCCTGCAGCCCTCACACCTCACCTTGAGCTGGACCTCGCAGGCACAGAGCGGCTGCCCACCTGCAAAGGACTCCGATGGGAAGAAGCCAGGGCTCTGCTCAGAGGAGGGCAGTGGTCCTGCACCCACCTTTGCAGGGAGAGTTGATGAGCACCTCAAAACCGAGCCCTGTGAGTAATGTGATACTCCAGGGTGGCTCTCACTGGGAGAAGGGAAAGTTCCCAGATGCTGGGGAATGGATAGTTTGGAGGCATCCCTAATAAAGTTGCCCTCGTGTCTACAAAGGCTATTTCCATACTGACACTCAGGCAGCACAACATGGTCTGTCCAGTGGGTACTGGGACCTGTGCTGGACCCCAGCAGGAGCCTGCTGTGCTGCACTGCACCTGCCCCACCACATCTCCAATGAGATGCCCCAGTCTGCAGGAGCCATGGCTGGCGCTGCGCGAACCGCTTGTCCCCTCGGAGCACTGCCTGCTCCCCTTCCCAGGAAAAGCTGGGCTCAAGGTGGGATATCAGGGGCCGCTCCAGGAAGCCACCATTTCCTGGAAGGTGGCTAACTCCTAAGGGTGCTGATGCTTGTGCAGGGAGAGCAACCTCCTCATGATGGAGGTCCCCAGCCCCAGAGAACGAGGACTCATTCAAGCCCTGTGCAGGGCAAGGAGCAGGTTGGGAGGGCAGCAACCACGGCCCAGCCCCCTGGGGGCTCTCGGGGCTGCCAGCCAGCAGAGTTTGTGACTCTACATGTCTTCCTGCCACTTCCAGCTGTTTTGGAGCTATGGCCATCCAAGCCTCTGATGGGCAACCTCCAGAAGTGCTCTGACCCAAAGCATTGGCTGGGTTTGCCCGGACTAGGACATTATGCCACTGAGTCACTAGTGTGTTTGAGTGTAACAGAGGTGGGCAGCTTGAGCCCACCAGCTTGCACCTGGGCTGGATCTGATCACTAGGAATAACGTTATCTATGGGAGCAGAGGTGTTGACTTCTCCTTGAAGCACCTGTCCTGGGTTTGCCAGCTGAAGTGCTACAGAGGATTTGCTGCTGGAGACTGGGACATCCAGAACAGTCCCCTCCACCAGCCCAGACGAGTTAAACAAGACCTGCTGTTCTGGTTGAGCAGAGCTGACTTTAGATGTAATGGAGACTAGAGAAATCACAGCATCTTGGCCTTGTGCACCAGGTTCCTGGGACTCTGGTGGGGCTTGAAATACTGAATTAGTTGCCCAGCAGTGCTGGAAACGAGGCGCAGCACTGTTTTCCTCATCACAGGGTGATGCACTGCAGTTCAGGAAGTCCATGCTCTTCCCAGCATCCTCCCTGAGGAGCATCTGCTCCACAGAGGATGTCACCTCAGCACCCAGCCTCTTGCCAACCTCCTGAGCTGGTGGCTCCTCCTCTGCATCCAAGGTGAGCAGAGCCTCCTCCCACTGCTGCAGCTCTGCACTGTCCACGTTGAGGCTCTGGAGGGTCTGACAGATGTTTCCGTCCACCCCACTCTTCTCAAAGAGGGTTTCAATAATGACCAGGAGGGAGTTGCTGTCCTCCTTAGCATCACTGACTTCCTCATTCTGGCTCAGTCCATCAGGCTCAGTGATGAGATCAGGCAAGGAGAACTGGGGCACATTATCAGTATGGGAGATGTATATGGATGCATCTTGCTTCATCATGGCCCCAAGAAGAGAGTTGGGGTCTACTGAGCGCTGCTTTGAATGGGAGTTTGCTTGTGTCTGCAACTCCTCCTTAGCCTGGAAGGAGTCCAGGAACCCAGGAAGATCATTCTCATACAAAACTGCTTCCCCTGTGGCAAAGCTAAAAGGCAGCTGTAGCTTTCTCTTCTGCAGATGTTCCTCCCCTTCTTCATTCCTTCAGTGTGGAGAGGGAAAAAAAAGAAAACAGAAGACATGGAAACAGCATGAGCACCTCCTCTGGGCCCTGCAAAACCACCCTCCCAGCAGCAAAACTGCCCTGGATTTTCTGAAGAAAAGGGTGCTGGACTGGGCTGGCTACAATGCTGCTGATGGAAGACCGGGCTCTGGGGAGCCCACAGGGAGGTCTCCATGGCTCAGGAAAGGGCTGCATGTCCAGGGCTCACCCCAGGCAGGAGCAAGCATGTCCACAACCACCTTCTCGGAGCCGTTTCACATGTGTCTCCCTGCTACAGGAGGACACGTGCTACAAAGTGCCAACCGTGCAACCCAACCACCCTTCACTCTCATTGTCTCCATGTGACTTGGGCAGCCCCATGGCCACCCAGGCAAGAGCAGGTGAAGGCAGCCTAGCAATACTCACGACAGGGCTCGCTGCTGGGCAATGATGCAGTCAGGCTTGCCTGCTCTGTACACCAGCCGGGCGTTGGCCTGCACCCACACCCAGCCACCCTTCTTGGTCAGCAGCCGGAAAACTGTCAGCCCGCTCTCCCCCGTCTTCATCACTGGGGCAGAGAGAGAAGAGAGGCAGCACAGACACGGTAACTCCACGAGGGCAGACAATGGCACATGCAAGATGCCACAAGGTTCTTGCAAGTGGGGGCAGAAGAGGGATGCAGGCCAGCACACGATGCCATGTGCAGTGCTGTCCTGCTGCCAGCTCCCCGAGCAGGTAATACCCAAGAGGGGAGAGCCTTTAGCACAAAGCTGCTCCAGACCCAGGACAGACGGCCCAAAGAGCAACAGTACTGGCACGGCCAGAGCTGCACCAGAGCCGGGGAGCCATGAGGGCCCCCACAAACACACCGCCCCAGCCAGTGCTGCTGCTCTCCCCCACCCAGCACTCACTTCTCACGTGGTTCTCTGCACAGTGCATCATGTCAGCCGCGTGCACAAACTGGTACCCGGACCCCCTCCTGCACAGCTCCGTTTCTGTGTACCCCAGGACAACCTTCCCCCTGGAAACAGTGAAGAAACCCCATGACACCAAGGATCTATCCCCCAGTTGCATCCCCCCCACTGGCCAGACACGATCCAATCCCCTGCCCAGCACCCAGACAGCAATACAAAGCCTTCCACTGTGGGGGGTGCAACTCTCCATGCTGGGCTGAGCTGCATCCCCTCTTTCACAAAACCACCCTGTGCTGGATTTTCTGGGCTAAAACACAGCAGCCAAGAAGTGCTGGTGCCCAGTTAATCTGCTCCCTGTGTTACTGTGGTGCAGCAGACAGACAAAAGCAGACACCTTGCCATGGGAGTTGCGTCAGAAGTACCCTGCTCCCATGCCTCTGGTTTTCTGTCTAGCACCAGGGATTTTACCACGGGGAAGATGAGAGATGCCCTACCGGGAATCACAGGCCATGGGAGTGAAATCCAGCTTGTGCTTTGTCTGGAAGATTAGCGTCTTGGTCTGAAGCTCCAGGATGGAGAGAGGCTGGAGGACAGTTGCGATGGCGAAGAGAGCTAGCGGGGACCTGTCTGATGCCTTCTTCTGCTGCCCGAGAAGGCATTTCAAGCGCCCACGGAAATTCAAAGCCTTGGAGGGGATTAGTAGATGTTGGTGTGAAGCAAACGGTGATGGGAACTGGCTGTGCTCCCAGCCCTATGAGACACGACTGGCCCCTAGGGAATATACTGGGGGCAGAGGGGTGTCCTGGTGTGGGGCTGCGTTACCAGAAATCCTGAGGAGTTATCCAACAAGCAGCGGAAGCGGCAGGTGAAGCTCCTCTCCACGAAGGAGGGCTTCTCAAGGTGGAGGTGTTGTGGGCTGGACACAGTGCTGCATCCATCCAGCAGCAGCTGGTTGGCCGGAAAGGCTGGGAAACCAAAGGGAAAACGAAGCCAAAGGGTGGTGAGGCCCTGGCACAGGTTGCCCAGAGAAGCTGTGGCTGGCCCCTCCCTGGAAGGGTTCAAGGCCAGGTTGGACAGGGCTTTGGGCTACCTGGGCTAGTGGAAGGTGTCCCTGCCCATGGCAGAGGTTGGAACTAGGTGATCTTTAAGGTCTCTTGCAACCCAAACCATTCTATGATAAGCTTTCCAAGCTGCACACCTTGAACTCACAGCCTTGCAGACCTGCTCCTGTTGGAGATTTTGCTTCTCAAGCAAACCCATGATCTTCACAAGATGGGTGAGACCTTGCCATGGGAAATTATTGGTTCACAATAGTTTCTGGTCCCCTGGCCTCTCAGGAGAAAGACAACAAGCCACCCCCACTGAAATAAATAGGGTTTCAAACACTGAAAAGAAAAAGGTTTGGGATAAGTGTCCCCATCCCTCCAGCACAGCAAAAGACATCACGTCATTGCTGTTGGTAGCTTTTGGCAAAACATGGCTGTTCCAACCCTCGGGATGATTGCGAGTCCCAGAGGGAGGTTTATGGGATGCTCCTCAGTAAAGGGCTGTGCTTAGTGGCTATAGATGCCACCAGGAGGGTTTTCCAGCATGGGATGGCCATGCAGAGGAGGCTGGCTGGTCCCCAGGAGTCTCCCTGGCACTCACCATTGGCAGCGTGCTGGGTGCTGCCAGATGCTGGGGCCTGGTGCAGCTGGCAGCGGAAAGAGGCTCTGTCATCCGCGTGGATCAACTCATACACGCTCCGGTAGATGAGATCTGACTGGAAGGACAGGGAAGAGGGGTGTCAACTCCTGCCCAGCCTGGCAGAGGTGTCTGCAGAAGGACACAGCAGGAGGCTTTCCTTCGCAAGTAGCAAAAGTGCAGCGACTGAGTGTGAAGAAACAGGCAAATGCAGCCAGCTTTGTGTGTCACATGGACAGCAAGGACCAGGAATCATCTGCTTTTTTAGGCTCAGGAAGGACAAAAAGGGAGCAGAGAGGGAGTCTGCCTGGGAAAGTCATGGGAATGGCTCAGAGGCTTCTAGAAGCAATAGAAATGGCGATGTCTGAGTAACCCTGGCTGCTCGGGACTGCCACGCTTCCCATTTCCCCACTGTCCTCTCGCCATAGCTAAGCAGAGCTTTCCAGCCTGTTCCACACAACAGCAAGGCTGAGGCTCCCCTGGTGTCACCCAGTTCTTCCAAGGATGTTCCACCCTGGCCCTGGCTCCTGATCCTTAACCCCAGCCCAAGAAAAATGTTGGAACTCCAGCTCCCTCCCCTGCCACAGGAGTCCCTGTGCTTTGGGAAGCTTTACTCTCTATCTGCAGGGTGAATGCTACAGCCGTGTCATTTGCCTAGTAGGTCTTAACTTCTAGTATCTTCTCGGAATCAAGTTCAGATGCAGCACCAGAAAGGCTGTGGGTTGTCAGAGGGGAATTTGCAGGGTACAAATTGCCTGTCTGCAACAGCATGCAAGATCTCTTGTGTTGCCACCCCTGGTCTTTTGCAAATAAGCAGTTTTGTTTCTTCCACAGGATCAGTGTAAAAAATAATGTCAAAGTTGATCAACACATTTTCACCAAGCCTTTTTTTTTTCATGCTTATGCAGGGAGATTTGCTGTTTTAAAAAGGTTTTGTAGGATTTTTTTTTTTTACTCCCAAACCATGGGAATCTATATCCCAGTGCAAGCCATCTTCCTTCAGTGGACCTCCAGGAAAGACAGACATGCTGATGCTGGGCTGAATGGCTGGCCACACAGCAGAAAACACCAGAAAGCTCTCATACCACCTGCTTCCCAACACAGCCCCCTTCTTCTAGGGCCATGCCTTAGACTAGCCTTGCCCATCCCAGTCCTGAATGCTGTGGTGGTCAGCATGGTCCTGCCAAGCCCACGAGCAGCTCAGGATACTTACTGCCATTGCCCTGCCCTCAGAAACATGCCAGAGCAGAACCTCCTGCTTAACCAGACATACAGGTACTTTGAGAAGACCACTCACTGCCAGACAGCTGTTTTGACTTGGGCCATCAGCCCACAAGGATCCCAGTGAGCTGGGAAAGGGTGCAAAGAGAGGACAAAGAAGAAAACACATCAGTCCCTGCAGGTGCACCAGGAATCCATGCAATGAAATGGGTTTGGTAGCCTCCCAGGCCTCCTGTTGACTCAGTCCTTTGGCCAAAGGAGCTGGACATCAAGGGAATCTGAGGTAACAGGGCTGATGTGGGGAGAGACCTGCTTTTCCTTCACATCCTGTGTAACCCATGGTACTCCAGGGCACTGACACCGCTCACCAGCGAGATACCCTTGGCCCTCTGTGAGAGCACATATGCCCAGCAGCATGATACAAGAAAAATCTCACACCCCTCTTACACACAAAGACAAGAGGATACAGAGCCTGCCATTGCTCAGCTTGCATCTGTTCCTACTAAAGTCACAAGCATGTTTGTTGGCTTTCACAACCCCCAGAGAACATAACTCATTTGAAAACGTACATAAAAAATGACCCAGGGGAGCTGGGAAGGGAGAAAAAAGCCCTAGCATGGCTATCACAGCACCTCCTTCCCAGACCTGGACTGCATCTGTCTGTTTACAGCCAGGAAAAAACAGTACCCACCTGATGAAAGCCCAGATAGTCCTGCACAGTAGGGGAGATGTAGAAGATGTAACCATCTCCGGTCACCGCAATGACAAATCCATTGAGTGCCTGAAAGCAGAAATTGGGCCCAGAGTTACTCTCTCTAGCTTCAATCCAGCTGCTGAAAGGTGGACTTCTCCAGGTGTTTCTTCAGCATTCAGGGACAGGAGGGACCTTCTTCATGAAGAATGAACTCCACAAAAAAGAAAGCACCTTGTGACCGTGCAAGACTTAAACCTGATTAGTTGTTTTGTTTGTGGGGTTTTTTTTCTTCAGTGTTAGCATGAGCAATGATCCAAGGTGGACTGATCACTTTTTCTAGATCCATCATTGAAGCCATCTCACTGCAGGGCAGCTCCTGCATCAGGAAGGGCCAACTAAGGAGAGGTTTCATGGAGGACCTAGTGTTAGTTACCTCCTCTCTAGCTGTACCAGCTGGTATAGCTGTACTCTCTTCTGGGGCTCTGATTTTCTCTAACAAACCTGCCTACATCTTCAGTAACAGGCAGCAACAAGCAGCGTAGAGGGAAGGAGGACTGCTCTGAGCCATGCAGGAGCCTGGTGACTCCAGGATGAGCCTAGCATCAATTCAAGCATACTGAAGCCTTCAGAAATAGTAACCAAACTGCAGTCAGCCACTGACCTGGACCTATTTATCTACTCATTCATTTTAAGGATGAGCTCCAAAGACACTCTGGGCCTTGCTCCTCACCCTGAACTTCACATTTAGGACATTATACAAGCTTATTTCTGTATGTCTTCTCCCTACACTTACTCCAATGACCCCCCAAAACCCTGCCTTTTAATCCTTAGCACCTGAGGACACTGCTGTCCCCTGGACTCATGCTCTCAGCTCCAAGGGTACATGAACAAATCACAAAGTACATGAAGTAAGAGCAAGTCTAGTCACCACTATCAAAGACAGTAATACAGCTAAAAATGACACGCACCTTGAAAGCAAAAGAGGTAGAAAAATCTAGAAACTCAGATCCTAAATTTGTGAAGGCCCTGACTACACATCTGTGATGCCTGACATGGCGCACCCTGGTCCTTATAAGCATGCAAACATCTTTGAGGAGGCAACAGTTTCATATTCTCATTTGTTTCCCATTACACAAGACCACAACCTCTTCTCATTTAATTTTGTTCTTGTTCCTGACAAGCATCTTAATAGCAATGGGACCTTGAAATGTTTGTCAAGAACAAGCCCTATTGCCCCTTAAATACATCCTGGCATTGAACTGCCGCTGTGAGATACCATACTGGGAAAATTACTCTCCTCTTGTCAATGTCCTAGATGACAAAAGATAAGGCTTTAAACACAAACCCCCCAAATCTCTATTAAAGATATCTTTGTGCTCACACCATCTGTCAACTTCACTCCTCTCCTTGCACTCCACAATTATATATGTTCTGCAACTAAATCCATACCCAACTGGTAGTTCCTTGCTTGAAAAAGATCAAACCCACACCAAATTAGAGAAACGATTCCAAAACTATGGAGATCATGGCTGTGGTGGAGGGAGGGAGGGGAGCTGATGCATCTAGTGAATACCCACAAAAAGAGGCAAGATGAAAATTCAGAGATATTTGGTGACCATTTCAGGTTGATTTTCTTCAAAAGGAAAGTACTGCAGTAGATAGTAATTCTTGCCCCCTGCTTTTGTCTGTAATATATTTAATTTACTAGTGAATAGAAAGAGATAAATTAGGAAAAGAAAACCCTGAATGGAAGTCTGTGTTTAATCAAGACATGGGCAGAAGTTTCAGCAGATCTCATCAGCATCAGGCTAGGACCTGTCACAAATATGGACTTCTGCCCTCACTGCCCAACTTAGCCATGCTGAGCTGGCCCTTGGTGAGACCATCGGGACATGCTGTTTGCTTGAGACCAGGCTGGAGGGAAGGGTCCAGCCACCTATGCTGCTCCTTTGGCCCTGCTCACCCTCTCCCCCCATGCAAAGAGGAGGCAGGAGTAATCGACCAACACAGCTCAAGCATTTGCCCATTTAGAGTGACACTAAGGCTCCCATGGGCTGGCTTTTTTTAGTAACTTGGATTATTTGAAAGGCTGATGGATTGAGCATGTTGCCAGATATTGTACAGATCCAACCCCTTTCCTTTGTGTGCTGCAGCCCCTCAAGGGGCCTTGAGTCAGAACTTTCTGCACGTGACAGTATCTGATTAAAATGTTCTTTGAGGAGAAAAGAAAAAAACAATGAAATATCAGGCAGCTCAGCCAAGGGATTTCTGTCACATTAGCACCTCACAAGATCTCCAGATGCCTTCAATCACCCAAGGCTGATAATGCTCTGGTGGCTCAACAAATTGCCATGATATGGTCCAGCTCAAACCCCCAGAGAGCACTCAGGAGCAGCTCCGTCACGGGACTGGGGCAACCACAGGGTCCCTCCTGGCTATCACATTATTCCAACTGTTCCTCCGTGATTTGCACTTGCAGACAGCTGAGAGCACTTCTGGGAGCGAATCCCACAAGGGGGACCATGTGGCCCAAGCTTCACTGCCAAAAGTCACATTGGTCTCCCAGTAGTCACCACCTCAGCAAAATCCCCTGTGGGGGCTCCTGCTGGGGCTCTTGTGAGCATTCAGTTAAGGCTGTGCAGGAGCAGGGTTGAAGGCACCAGAGACAGACTTTAAGGAGAGCCAAGTATTCATCTGCTTTTGTTTGGTGGAACAAGGGAGAAGAGAACTCAAGGCCCAGAAAGCACAGACATATGCGATATCAAGAACACAGCTATGGAATGATTAAAGGTCTTGCACAGACTTGCCCTGCAGCCCCAAGGAGCAGCATGTTTTAATTGAGATGCCTAGATGTTTATTCAGCAACGAGGCTTTCCATGGACCCTTTCTATCCCATTTTGTTCCAGTTTACATTTATAAATTGCAGCCCAAGCAAACAGCATCATGGCCAGATGATTCACCAGCTCCTTTTTCTCTGAAATTCAGCAAGAGCTATCTCATTAGACACACTCTGGCCTTTCTACAAAGCAAAGCTCCCACCACGCATTGAATTTTTTCACCACTGTCTCCCAGATCCACCTTCCTTTCTTTTCTCTCCCTCAATCTTCAAATTGAACCAGAGCTTTTTCCATCACAGGCAGGATGTGAACTCATGCTAGAGTCCTCATGCAGTGCCCCAGAGAGGGCAAACAGATGTTTTCTCCTGCAGTGATCATTATTTTCCTCTTGGCATTTACTAGCACACAAGGAGCCTGCCACCTGAGAGACCAGTCAGGGATCATTCCCTGCACTGCTGTATGGTAGCCTTGCACCCTATTGGTTGGGATTTACAAACCTGTGCACGTAGGGTCCAGGAGCTGTAGCAGGTCCCAAAGGAATATGCCAGCTTTGGGCTCAGTGACAGCCAGCGCCTGCAAGCCACAGGCACAAGCAGCACCCAACACCTTCACAAGAAGAACACAACCCACCACCCCAAGCTCTGCTCTGTTCACAGATGCAGCTTATAGCACAGAGCTGCTGCAGTGTAACCAAAGTGGTAGCAAACTGCAGTGTGGCGTGCAAGGGAATGGTGGGGACCGGGACCCATCCCACCTAGTCAGTGTCACTGGTCCCTGTCCCAGGTTGCTCAGTGCCTGTTGAAATCACAGTGAAGCAGCCCCTGGCAAGGCAGGATCTCCTCTTGCTCCATAGGTGGGACCTCATGTTCCATAGCTGCTGTATGGTTGAGCAAACATGGGTCAGTCATTATGCCCAGTGGATTACAGAAGCCAAGAGAAGACCAAGATATGGCACAATACCTGGAGCAGCAGTTCCCCCTCAGGAAACAGCTCTCTGTTGGCCTGCAGGTCCATTTGTCTGTTCCCTCCTGGGGCTCTGGGCACACAGTCACCAACATCCGTAGCTGTGGCTGAGAACAAGAGGGCAAAAAATCAGCACAGAAGGGGCAAGCCAGGAACCTTCCCACCACAGCGCTGCTCGGGCACAGCTGCACCGTGCTACCCAGTGCCCAGGGACTGTCCTCAGAGGAAGATGAGAACAACAGTAGCTGCAGCAGACACCCTTTACAGAGCCATCCCCAACTTGCCCAATGCTTCCTCCAAGAGACTATTTTCCCTGTTTGGTCCTATTTCTGTGAAACCTTACTTCTGCCAAGGTCTGAAGCAGACACGCAAAGGATAGAGAGAGATTAATATTTTTAGGCTGCCCAGGCTAGAAAACACCAACCAACACAGCAAGAATTCTTCATATTAGAGCCTGGTAGAGCTGGTGTTGGCTTCAAGCTGCCACAGTGTTGGCTTTCCTGCCCTTCAGAGTTGATGAAAGGCAGTGGCAAACCCTCCCAAGCCATATGAGATGCCATCAAAGCACCTCAGCAATATTTTTAATCCCTTCTACCTTTGGCTGCACAGAAGTAGATCAGAGGGTTGGTGACCACAGCACTCCTAGTGAGACACCTAAGCAGATCTCTGCTCCCAGAACTCACTGCCATGACCTCCCCATGCTGTCTCATGCTTCCTTGCTAGATGCCTTCAACACAACACCCATGGGTTTAGCCAACATGAAACCTCCTGCCCCAGTTGCAGGACCTCAAACATCATGGGACACACAGAAAAGTTGTTCAGGGAACAGGAATGAGGATGGCAGCTCCTGGGGACATCCCCAGTGTGGTACATCATCTGCTGGGGAATTATCCTTGAAAAACCTCAGTCCAAACTCAGCTTCCAACAAAAGGACAATTTTCAAGGCATGTTTTTGTGCCAACTCGACCAAAAACCTGCAAGAAAACCTCAAAACAGCTCCCATGTAAGAATCACCCCACCTCTGTGAGCACCTGCAGCACCCCAAGGTTGGACAGAAATCGTACACCCCGTGCACAGCCACATCCTGGCAGAACATCGCTGCTTGCCCCACCAGAGCCCTGGGTTTCTGATGGTGCTGCATGACCTTGGCTGGATCCAAAAGGAAAAGGCCTTCTGAATTTGAGGGAGCAGTAGGAAGTGAAGAAAAAGCCCAAACCATCCCAAGTCTGACAACACATTTAATTTTCTCCATGGTAGAAGCTCTGACATCACCACTGAAGGGTTTTAAATGTTTGGGTTTTCTCCCCCCAGTAGCACCAAGTTCAAAGCCAAAATAATTCCAATCCCAACAAAGTTTCATCTGAAACTGCTGATATGAGACATTTTGCTTTTCATCAAACTATCAATATGTAAAAGCATTTTCCCTGACAGAGCTGCATTTTTGTATTAAAAAACAGTTTGAGGTCAAAACATCACTCAGATCTATTTACATGTGGAGTTGAGTGACAACAAGCACCCACCCACACAGGTGTTCAGCAACTAGGCACATGGTTAAAGATAATTAGCTGAAGGTCTTGCTTAAGGTGACGCAGAGAAGCCAACAGTTGCAGTCACACAGGTTTAAATACAAGGCAAGAGGATGCTCTGAGCCCATTGAGCAGAACTCACCTCAATCTCTATTGCTGATAGAACTGGGCTTCTTCAGCCTCCCCTAAACCTTGAGCACTCCTTGAAGATGCTCAGGCTGCAGTTTTGTCTTCTGCCCTTTCCATCCTGCACCATCACTTGCTGGAGGAAAGCCCAGGTTGTGGGGAACTCCCCCAGGACATGCCTTCCCCTCCCTGACAGCTCCCCTCCAGGTCAGTTAAGCCCACACCACAAATGTGCATTGCCCCCCACAATCTCCCATTCCCATTTCTGCAGGGAACAACCCTCTGAGTAGATACTTCCCAAACCAGCAAGAGGTAGATCAGCCAGGCCAGGGGGATACAAGACCTCCAGGAAAGGTTGGAGAAGGTGAGGTTCAACACCAGGCAAGCAGTCACTAGGCTGTTTGCTCATCAGTCAAGAAAAGGCACGTCCCAAGGAGTTTCACAAGGCAGGTTTGAGGCAATCACCAAGCAAAAAGCCTCCTCACATGACTGCCAAGTGATCCCCAACAAAAAACTTCCAAAACCCATCTGGACTACGGGTATGGCTTCAATTTGCACATGATGGAGCAAAATAGTTTCAAAATGAAACACTAAAATTTAAAAAAAGAATCAATTCTTTTGAATGGTTGAATCCCCTCTAAAGCATTGAAATGAGGCAAGCTGGTGGGGAAATCAAAAAATAAACCAAGTTCTTCCAAAACAAAGCTCCAAAAGGGCAGAGAGTGTTTTGAGCGATGAATGTCCCAAGAGCACATTGTCTTCAGCTCTTTGACAGTGTCTACCAGCAGCATCTTCAGGGAGAGCTGCAACAAGCTGGGGAGAGCAAACACTTATTTGCTCATTTTGTGCTTTCCAGCAAAATAATTTCTTCCAACTCCCCCACTGATCTTAGCAAGGGGCTTTTAATCTCCCATCAGAGAGGCTCACTTCCCCTACTCTGAAACACAGAATGGTCCATTTCTGCACAGCTGAGCTAGAAAATCCTGCAGTATCTATCTCCTGTGGGAGACACTATGATGACCTGTCATGGGGAGAAGGCCTGGAGCACAGAGAGAGGGTAGAAAACCAAAGAGATGGAGTCTGCCAACTGCTTTGCCACCAAGCATCACTGCACCGGGGTTGCAAGGTCCTAACTGCAGAGCATGGATTGTGACTGGTGCTTCTAAGTATTGGTGGTGTAGAGCAGCTGGTGTTCACATCCAGCCCAATCCTCACCATCTATATGGCCAGAGGCCAAGAAGATGCTGAGGCCAGTGCATGAGGCAAAATATTTACATGGTGCCCTCCAACCAAAATAATCCAGCAATGTGTGACATGAGCTCCCCTTACTTTCATCATCACTTCAACACCTACAGCCCAGTCTTGTTCTTGCAGAGGGCTTCTCTGCTTCAAGACACAGCCACTCTGCTGGATGGCTTTGCCAGTGATGGAGTGAGCACCCAGCAGACGGGCAGGGCTGGGGCTGCTCTCAGAAGCTGCAGTCGTTCCTCAGCAGTCTAGATGATCTGGAGACCTCTTGCACCCATTTTCAGGTGATAACTCTTCACATTCAAACATGTCAACACTGGGTGTCCTCCTCAACCAATAATTTGGGAGGAAAGCATCCCTGTGGCTTTCCTCCTCCAAACAGGTCTCTGAACTCATCCTCACTCAAATTGACAAGAATCACAGGGGCTGGATAGGAGCAACCCCAAAGGATGCCCGTGTACATCCAGAGGACTCCAGGCCCATGTAACCACCAGGGGTACAGACACTATTCCCAGTTACTTTTTGACTCAGAAAGGAAAAAAAATAAAATCCTTTTAATCCAAGTGCAGAAAAAAACTCCCACCCCATCTGCAACATGGGTAACCTCATGGGAGGGAGGGATCACTCCTGAAACATCCCCCCTTTGCTTGAGACAAGTTATTAGTCTCTGGGGGATTTCACCAGCACATAAATCCATGCTCACCAGAAACAACTTGCAGTATGATCACACCATGACAGGCAACACTGGTTCTGTCTCCCAATGACATGGGGTGGTGGCTTGAAGTCTCTTCCCCTCCCACTGGCCCCCAGTGCAGCTGGTCAAGGGTGACACATCAAGCGTCTCCAGGACATGCTGTGACTCCGGAGCAGAGCCTACAGCAAGGTCAAGCTGGAGCCAGCACTACCGAGAGCAGGGAGGACTGACAGCCAGGGTTCTTCACGTCAGCAGAGCAGGCTACGTGATGGGGAGATGCCACCCCTCAGCATCCCACCAAGAGGCCCTCAGCCTGCTGAAGGCATGTCTCCAAGGGGCTGCTGGCTAAGAGGCAGTGAAAACAATTGATGGCAAGAAGAGGAGATCCCTGTATGCTGCAAGGCAGGAGAAAACAGCTGCCAAGCCATGTTAAAAGCTGGCTGGTTTACCCCCCATTTGAGAGATTTGTTGTAATGGACCACTACATGTTGAGACACACTTCTGCACAAAGCAGCTGAGACCACAGTTAATGGGATTAAAACAGGTCCAACATGTATACAAGTTATAATATACCCACAGTAGAAGAAATAACTATAGACACAAGGACAATGCACATTTTCTGCTTGTGCCCAGCTTTTTCAGTCTCCTGCTCTGAATCTTTGAGAATTAATGGGAATGAATTCAAGGTTATAAAGACCATGACAAAAGTGATCTGCAGTAACGAGACAAATTCTAGGCATTTGCTGAAGCAATTTGGTGATCATTTATATTTTCAAAGTGCTGGGATAAAGGCTATTGGTGTGTAATGTTAAAGACAGGCAGGAGAAACCCAGCTCTGTCCTGATCCCCTAACACCAGTCAGAGCACTGCTAGAAGCTTCCTGCTGCTGGTGTGATCCCCCAAAGACTGTAAGGCTTTAATTCAAAAGGAAGCCAAGGGACATGTCATCCGGGAGCAGTAACATTTTCAGCATTAATGAATCAGAATGTGTTCTGTTTGTCCCCAAGAGCAACCCTTTCGGTTGGCTTTCTTGCATCTGCAAAGAAGTTTCTAAACTCTGCAGTGTGGAAGAAAGACCTCAAGCGTGAGAAAGCAATCTAATCTCCCCACTTTCTATTCATCACATTCACCAAGAAAAACAAAGCAATGCAACCATAAAGGCTAACATGTCCCTTGCCTCTGGCATGGTTTTGTCACAAAGGGAAAAAAAAAAGTTATTGGTAAAAAAGTCCTGGAGTCAGTTCTGCTCTCATGGACTGAGTTACACCAGTGGGAAATGACAGACTTCACCCATGGCAAGCATTTCTCTTTGAACAGACTCCAGAGATGCCTGGCATCAAGAAACCAGGAGCTCCCAGTTCTAGCAGCCACACCAAGCCATGTGCACCATTTTCTTCTTGGACCTGATCCCAAACCCTGTCAGATTAGCACCAACCTTTGCCTCAGCTGTTTAACAAAGGCATTGTGCCAAGCATTGTGCTCATGCCATCCAAGTAAAACAGGCAAGTGCCAA